CATGCCCTGGCCACTGCCATCCGCATCCCAACGCCCCGTCTCCCTTCCTGCCTGTTTTTCTACGTAGCACTGGTCAGCACCTAATGCCGTCTGTTTTTTCACTTAGTTTGTTTATTGTCCTCCCCGCTCAGAATGTAAATTTTAAACATTTTTTTAATTGTGGTAAAATTAGACATAACATAAAATTTAGTGTTTTTTTTTTTTTAATTTGAGGATATGTTTTTATTGATTAAAGAGAGAGAAACATCAATGTGTTGCCTCCCTTACATGACCAGACAGGGATCGAGCCTGCACCTTTTGGTGTGTGGGACAACACTCCGGTTAACTGAGCCGCCGGGCCAGGGCTAACACTGAAAATGCTTAAGTCTGCAGCTCTGCGTTCTTCCTCACGGGGAACAGCTGTGTCGTGTCTCCAGGCTGAATGACATTGTTACGAAACATCACCACAGCTTTTCATCCCAAACTGAAACTCTGCACAGTTAAGCAAGAATCCTCCATTCTCCCCTCCTCCCACCTCTTCATGATCACTACTCCACTTTCTGTCTCTGAATTTGTTCCACCTACCTCATAGAGGTGGAGTCATACCATACTTATCCTTTCGCGGTGGCTTATTTTAATGTAGCTTGTGTCTTCCAGGTTCACCCAGTCTGTATTATATGCCAGAATTCCCTTCCTTTTTAAGACTGAATAGTATTCCATTGTATGTGTACATGGCATTTTGCTTATCCGTTGGTCATTTGAATTATTTTGCGTGTTAGCTGTATGACTAGTGCTGCTTTGAACACAGGCGTGTGAATATCTCTTTGAAGTCATGCTTTCATTTCTCTCGGGTGTACAACCAGAAGAGGAATTGCTGGCTCATATGGTAATGGTGCTTACATTTTTAAGGAACTGAGAAGGCACGGGCTGTTTGTTGTGTGCGCTGGCGTATGGCCAGGGCCTAGAACAGAGCTTAGCACCGAGTGCACGGCCAGTAAATACCTACGGAATTAACTGTTAATTTCTCGGTGAGCCTGGACTCTCCATCTCAGCAGGCTGGGCGGCTTGTCTGAGCCGCTTGCTCACAGTGGTCCTAATGCTTCCCTTTTCAGATCGGGGCCCCAGAGCAGGCCCTGAGAACGTGTCCGAGAATTTTGCGGGGGAACTCTGTGGAATCCACCTTTTCTATGGCTTGTCAGGCTCCTGGCCCCTCCTTCTCAGACGCTCCCACGTCGCCGACAGTGGCCCATTGCGTGTTCTCTCAGTGCCGTTGACTGTCGTTTCTTTGGATCCCTTTTAGATCGGTCTGGTGCTTTCTGGGTTGCATCTCTTCTCTTAAGCTCACTTCCCACCCCCCTCACCGAGTTCCTGCTGACGCTTCTGTGCAAAAATCCTTCTCTTTGATGGGAGACAGAGGCAAATAAAAGGCTGGATGAATCTTGCTTTCTCTGTCACCTCCACGCCGACACCCTCAGGCCCAAACAGCATCCTTAGTTCTTTCCCTGTTCTTGCTCCAAATATAACACTTTTTAAATTTGTTTGCCCGTTTTCTGACACTATTCTTCTAAGTCTCTAATACAGGCATTTCTGCTATAAAACGTGATGTGTTTTGTTTTGCTTTGTAAGACCCACATTCTGAAATCACACTAAAAATGGGCTTACAGGAAATACAGGATTAGGACCCACCATTCAACGCTTATGAAACTCTGTAACGAAAACCCTAAAAATATGACAGCCATCTCAATTAAAAAATGGACAGTGAGCCAAAACCGGTTTGGCTCAGTGGTAGAGCGTCAGTCTGCAGACTGAAAGGTCCCAGGTTCAATCCCGGTCAAGGGCATGTACGTTGGTTGCGGGCACATCCCCAGCAGGGGATGTGCAAGAGGCAGATGGTCGATGTTTCTCTCTCATCGACGTTTCTAGCTCTCTATCTCTCTCCCTTCCTCTCTGTAAAAAAAATCAATAAAATATATTTAATAAATAAATAAATAAAACATGGACCGTGAACTCTCCATCAGCATTTCCAGCCTGGAATCCCTGCCCGTCCTTCGCCCCTTGTGCCCTGGCCAGTGTGCATCCTCCTCTCAGACATAGACGCCAGAAACTTCTCGCCTCCAACAAAGTAAAATTGTTCGTCAAAACTAAAAATCCTCCTTAACCCTTGGCTTCCACATACAGGTACATGTATTGTCAGCCCTTCACTTGTACTTACTGCTTCACCAAGCGGCTTAATCACAGTAGAAACCAACTGATGACTGCACCCAAGGAAGACATTTCCATTGAATCTTGTGTTTCTTAAGGTCTTGATATTGCCGGAATGTTCTTTTTAGATGTAGAACATCAAATGCGAGCCCTGGGACAGTTGCTTATGCACCAGCGTGATTTCCACGTGACCCTGACGTCATTCTCTGTGTGCCGATGGCCTGTGGGTGAATCCCACAGTCTGTGTTTGATGGTGGTTGTCTGGTTTTCTTCTGCCTTTACCCACATCCTCTAAACCATCCAATGTTTTAGAAAGCTTGTTGTGCTGCCTCATATTGTCATTCATTAACTCTTCCACTCTTTTCCTGTTGGAAACAAGAAAAGGACAGAGGCAGGAAGGTTAGCATTAATACTTTTTTTTAAATATATATATTTTATTGATTTTTAAAAAATATATTTTATTGATTTTTTACAGAGAGGAAGGGAGAGAGAGAACCTGGGACCCTTCAGTCCGCAGGCTGACACTCTCTCCACTGAGCCAAACCAGTTCCAGCAAGCATTAACACTTTGCTTGGGCTTTGGAGTGGGTCATCCTGATTCAGATCTTGGCTCCACCATTTCTTCGTTTATAATATGAAGCTTGCCACTTACCTCCCCCGAGGCCTCAGGGTCTCAGTGGGCAAATAAAAACACTCAGTGGGCAAATAAAAACACTCCTTTGAAGCGACTGGTGTTCTAAGGACTAATAATCATGTCGGTAAAGCACCTAGCACAAAGCTGTCATTGTTGACATCATTTGCAGAATTTCCCAACTAGGAATCGTCTTTCCTCCCAGATTCTCTTTTAGGGACTCACACGTGTCTGCACCCCGAACCCTCATCACTAACATTCAGCTCCCTGGTTGCCCTCATCATTGCTGCTTCCGAGCATCTGTGACAGTGCCTCAGGCACACAGCAGGGGCAAAGTAAATTGTGGATTGATTGAACTGAATATTGCTTACCTTTATGTTAAACTTACGTGCCTACATTATTCGTGTCCTGCACTGGACACGCATGCTGTGCCCTGTGCTCCAGCCACACTGGCCTTGGAATCCTCTTGTCTCAGAACTCCTAGGCTCTTCCCTCTACATAGAATGTGCCCCACTTTCCAGTCCTTTTACCCCTATGCCTGCTTCAGCTCCCTATGCAGGTCTTCCTCCTGGGGAGCCAGGCAGTCTCCTTTTGAAGGCTAGGCCAGGCCCCTCCGCCACATGCTAAGCGCCGGGTATTTCCTTTGCTGCATTTATGGGAAGTACGTTGCTGTGAACTGTTGTGTGGCGGAGTGTAAGTTCAGTGAGGATAGCCCAGGAATGGTTTGCTCACTGTTATATCCCCAGCGTGCCTAGCACAGTACCTGGCACACAGCACCTAGCAGGCAGTTACTGGGCGACGCTGTTATCATCTATGGAGTGAACATTGAGATGCTTCCTGTGGATGCTTCCTGAAAGCAGCATCCGCCAGCCTGTTTGCTCAGGGTACTTCTGTCCTACAGTGACCTTAACTTAATTGTTACCTTTCCACATGTTTATACTAAAACCCTAACCAGGTTCTGAGGGCTTCCTGACTTCCCAGGAACACGTTGAAAAGGGACTTCTGGAGGCCAGTGGTTCTGTGTGTCCCGCTCAGGATAATGGCTTCAGGGGTGGGTCAGTCACTAAGAGCGGGAGGGAGACGGAGATGATTTAGGATTGGAGAGGCCTTGTTTCAGAACCTTTCCAATTACAGGGCCTGCTCCAGAAATGTAGAAAGGTTCTTAATAAGGAACCTCATCTCATTATTTTTTTTAAATATATTTTATTGATTTTACAGAGAGGAAGAGAGAGGGATAGAGAGAAACATCGATGAGAGAGAAACATCGGTCAGCTGCCTCTTGCACACCTCCTACTGGGGATGTGCCTGCAACCAAGGCACATGCCCTTGACTAGAATCGAACCTGAGACCTTTCAGTCCACACGCTGACGCTCTATCCACTGAACCAAACCGGTTTTGGCTCATCTCATTATTTAAAAGTAATGTTTACATGCCCTCGCTGGTGTGGCTAGGTTGGAGCATTGTCCCATACAGCTAAAGGTTGCAGGTTCGATCTCCCGTTGGGACACGTACAGAGGCAACCAATCGATGTTTCTCTCTCATAGCAATAATTCTCTCTCGCTCTTTCTCTCTGTCTCTCTCCCCCACACCCCCTCTGCCTTCCTCCCTTTCTAAGTCAAACATATTCTCAGGTGAGGATTAAAAAAAATTTTATTAAAAACTTTTAGGTAGTGTTTACAAAGAGTTTGTAAGAACATTGAATAAATGCATGTACCATATATCTATAATGGATATACACTCAGCATTTGATTGCACTTATGCAGAAACATGCGTTCCTAATGAATAACAGCTTAGCTTATTAGTTACCACCTGTCACAACCACCCTGTAAAGCAGACACTCTTCTCTCCGTTTTTCAGGGGAGGAAGCTGCTGCACAGGGCAGTGAGGTCATTTTCTCAAGATTCCACAGCCAGTGAGGGACAGGCTTGAACCTTGTCAGTCACACTCTAGAGCCCATACTCTTTAACTCCGAAGTCAGGCAGAAAGAAATCCGTGAGGATGTTCTCTGTCTCTGGGTGGTGGTTTATTTTCTCCTCTGTTCCCCGGGTTTTCTGTGTAGGTTTACCATCGAAGTTGAATGATAAAATTTTTGGATAGGGAGCAAGGGTGGTGAAGCTTGAAGGACAAACATACGCTTTAGAACAAAACAACTCAACCCATTTCCCTCTCCACTTTTGTAAATTTTCCAGGACTGATCACCACAGTTCGGCAGGTCACCACGGCCCTGTCCCCTGAAGCTGAAGCCAGCACAGCACTCATCGCAGGTAACAGCGGCTCTGAGCCAGATCCAAGGGACCTGCTGAGTTCAGGGCCATCTCGTTCCAGTCGGCCAGGAACCCCGTGGTCCTGAACGAGGACTTCCCTGTCCAGGAAAGCACTAAAAATCAGGGAGTAGACCCACCAAGGGGCTCATTGGGCACGTAGGTTATCTATCTCACACACAAAGCTCGGAAAGACTCCCTGGGGCTTCTGGCAGAGGCACTGCCAGTACATGATCCCTCGGGAGGTGGCCACGCGTAGATCTAGGTGGGTATGGGCGCCACACTCCAGTGTGTGGGCAGGGAGGAGGATGTGTGGTTTGCCAAGTGGGTGAGGAAGAGGATAGGAGGGAGCAGAGAACCCCCTGCAGGAGGCTATGGATTCAAACAGCCCTTCCTGTTGGATAAGCCATTTCCTGTTGGCCTCCTTCCTGTTTCTATCATAATCACCAGGAACTGGTGGAGAGAGAGTCCCACTGTATCAGAAGTCAGAAGCCTTGTATCCTTAGCTTGAGTCCCCAGAGATCATGTCCGACGGGGACTGGGCTTGGTGGGGGAATATACATTGGAATTGGTCACGTTAACTAGACCAGGAGGATCCTTGTGAAAAGCGAGGGAGCCGTCTAGTTCAGGGGGCCCCGGGAATCACTGAGATACGCTGGATCCTAAAACATCTCTGTTTCCCCCTCTCCTTTACAAGTTGTGATCACCGTGGTCTTCCTCACCCTGCTCTCGGTCGTGATCCTGATCTTCTTTTACCTGTACAAGAACAAAGGCAGCTACGTCACCTACGAGCCGGCCGAAGGGGAGCCCAGCACCATCCTTCAGATGGAGAGTGACGCGGCCAAGGGCAGGGAGAAGGAGGAATACTTCATCTAAGGCCCCACGGAGCTTCTCCAGGCTCCAGTGCTGACACAGTGACTATTTAATTTATTAGGTGCACGTTTTATCCGAAGCCAGTGAGAAGCATTGCATGGGCAACCCTGAGCTCCTTCCAGGAGGAGGCCCAAATCCACCGTCACGGACAGTAGGGACCAGGGACAGGGAGAAAGCTGCTGATGTCTTTAGACAGGAGTGTTTGTCGCTGACCAAGAAGGTGGGGCTGTCCCAGGCAGCATTTCAGTATGTGCCCAGTCATCTCCAGGTTTTTCTCACAGGTCACAGGGGAGGGGTGAGGTCACTGGCGGCTGCTCTGTTCCCTACCTAGTGACAGCCCCAGCGGAGGTAGTGTCCACAGAAGTTCTTCCCAGAGGCTGATACCACAACAAAAGGCCAGGCGTGCGGGGTAGGAGACTAGAGAGATACCTTACCTCCTAGTGAATGTGCAACGTCCCTTAATCTGAGCCCATCCTTCCCCTACTCCCGGCCTCATACTTAATGCTATTTTTATCACAATTAAAATTTTTCATTAAGAAATCATTCTCATGTACAAGAAATAACTTTTAATCCAAAATGTCTTTATTGGGATGTTTCCCACTCATCTTGACTCGGGCGCTTTTCTTCCTGCTGCCTTCTGAAGGAGCAGCCTTCCGTGAGCCTGGCTTTCCCTCCTGTAGGCTGACAGGTGTGGAGCAGCCAACACACAAAACTACCGCTTGTGCATTGGTAAACACGGGGGTGGTCTTACAGCATCCTGGACGTTTCACACCCAGGCCATGAAGAAGGAATTGGGGCTCTTTCTTTTCTTCTGGAGAGGGATGGAGATCCTTAGCGAGAGGCATGTTGTGGCAGGAAGTCGTTACTACCTTTACATTGTGACTTATCCCTGCTTAAACTTTCTGACATTTTCTTTTGCGAGACTCCTTTGCCTAGGTCCTCTCCCAAGCTAAAAGAACTCTTAAGAAGTTTTGGAAGTTCCCAAAATAATTTTTTTTTTGGGGGGGGGGGGGCACGCTTGAAACAAAATTGGTCCTAGAAAGTGTCATTACAAACATACCCGGGAGATGGACTGACTTATTCTCTATCCTGGCAAGAGCCGCCATTTCCCAGAATCTACTATTTGTGTACAGAGGGCACCAGGAGCAGTCTACCTACTACTTTTCCCACTAGATCCTTGAATCAAGCTGAGAAGGAGGTATGTTTTAAAGGCACCATTGGCCCTGCCAGGTAGCTGCTGGAGCACTGCCCTGTGCACAAAGGGTCTCGGGTTCGATCCTTGGTCGGGGAGCATACCAGAGGCAATCAGTCAGTTTTTAATCCCCAGATATTTCTTTGGGATTAAGATAAATCTTCTTTGAGGTCTTAAATGTATTGTCTCCACTGTCCAAGTCCACCCAGAGTAACACCTCAGGAGCTGAGGAGTCAGTCTTAGCAACCCAGATTCCAGTTTTCCCACAGAACTTTGGAGAAACTGAAGGTCACCCTGAACTTACACAAACTTTGATACTGAAAACATTTAAGTCAAACTTTAGGGCAAGTTAGAAGTCTATATCACTCTCTTATTTTCTAAGTTTATGTTCTGAATTCCTTTGGCATAATAGACTTTTAGAATCTGAGCCCAGCTGGCGTGGCTATGGTTGAGTGTCAACCTATGAACCACAGTTTGATTCTCGGTCTGTCTCCGTGTCTCTCTCTCTCTCTCTCTCTCTCACACACACACACACACACACACACACACACACTGAAAGGGGAGTGAGTTAAGGTATAAGGGGGATAAAATAAGGGGAAAATTTTTCACACAGAGAGCTTAGGAAGTAAAATTGTTTAAAATGGCAGTGGCACCTATCTGAATTCTTGGTGGGATATAAAAGCTATAAATAGAAAGAATCTAAAAACAAGCGGAGTAATGAATCCTTGAAGTGAGGTGTAATGCAACTTCATCACTTTATTCAAATCTTCAAAATAGTCTTTATTCTACATTTTTAGTATAAAAAAATCCACAAGTTAAGTGCACCAGTGTAAATAGAGAGACATACAACGCTTAACTTCCATAAGTCAATGGTACGGTCAAACATCACATGTACAGAACACAAAATTTAGATGAACTGAAATTATAAAAATAAAACCCAATTGCAAAAAACAAAAATTAAAATATTAAGGATCCCTGAAATATTCTTAACCCTAATGAGATTTCACTGGACTCAAGTCATTTTGTAGAGGCATTCCCAACATGACCACATTAACGCAGCTTAGGAATTACTGGGAGCCATGAGTGGCTGCAGCAGACGCTTGGACAATAAATGGCAACCAATTTTTTATCTGACAACTCCACTTAAATTTGGCTCTAACATCATCAGGCTTATGAAATACATTCTCCTCCTTGCCCTCCCCCCCAACACACACATTTTAAGCAAACTGTTGTTTACAGTTTGTGCTGCTATCCTTTGTTCAAATAAGCTGTTTTTCTGGCACCAAAACAAGGTTGGGTTTGGTTCATGGAAGAGACAGCCTATGAGGAGGGTCCAAAAGGCACCCTCCACTTTTGCCTGAGGAGATGCAAAAACAGAAATAATGGGGTCTGTGCTTTGGGCACAGACGGGGTTTCAGAGGATCCTTGTGAAAGACAAGTTAAAGATGACAAGTGGGGACAAGTGCAAGGAGAGAAGGAAATTAGTCTCACTGGCTTTCTGTCCTGCACCACTGATTTGATGGAGATTGGCGGGAGGGAATGGAGGATGGGTTGGTATGGGATGTGGGACAAAAGATGGAAAAGAAAAAGTAGACAACTAATGCGTTTCACTTATAACAAGCAATATAAATCAAAGACTTAAAGATTAAAGACCAATCAGAATAATTTGGCAACTTTAATTCTTAGGAAGATCAAAGTTCCCTCCAAACCTAATTTGATGTTTTATTACTAAAAGCAAAGACCAGTATGGTACAGTATTACTCCAGAGGAATTAAAGGAAGATCTTTAGGGCTGGTTCACCCACATTCATTTTATGAATGGATAGCTCCCCTACCTCAAAATGCTTTAGGGAGGTACTGCTACCATAACATGGTTCCTTATTAAGTTTGAAAAGTGCCTGAAAGTTTGGGCACCAGAAAGACACCCCAACAACATGTGTCTTAAACTGCAACTTCAGGTTAATATGACTAAAGCAGTTACATCGTGAGAAGTGCTGAAGGTATGTGATGTCTTTCCCGGCACAGAGGTGGCCTTGGGTCTTCACCAGATGGTGTAGCCACCATCTGAACCACCCATGAAGAAGTTCCCCTTCCGCTGAGTTACCAGGACATTGGCTCCCTGCATGACTGCAAGCTGAGCAGCATTGGGAGGGCATCCAGGGGGTGGAGGCTGAAAGGAAAAGACAAGGTTGATTGGGCATAGGGCAGCTGACACAAGGGAAATGGACACAGGTGAACAGAAGACCTGTTAGGAAGATGGCAGTGTGCTGACCAAAAGCAACTTTAGGAGCTAGCTGTACCACCAATCTGGGTACTAAAGCAGATCTGTGAACCCAAAGATACAAACAGGAAAGCATGCACTACTTACTCCAACGGCTTTAGCTTCAAGATAAAGCCTATGGATCTCTTCTGAGTATGAGTAGTCTAGACCCAGTGGTTTCCTACCCACATTCCAAAACAGGGATGGAGTGCCAGGTTCATGGTCCTATACCATAGGGTCCCTCAGTATTTTTCAATGGGATAACCAAAAGGCTCTACCTAATGACACCATTCCCACCTCATCTCTAACATATGGTGAGTTGACAGGCCTCAAGGCGTAGCAAGACCTTGTTTGGCAGCGTCGGCCCTCAGACTGAAAGGTCATGGGTTCATCAGGTCAAAGACATGTACCTCAGTTGCAGGCTCAATCCCTGCCCCGAGGCAACCAACTGATGTGTCTTTCTCACATCGATGTTCCTCTCTCTCCAACCCCCCTTCCACTCTCTAAAAATCCACTGAGGGGGTTGGGGGAAGACCTAGCAAGGACCACTTGGGCTCCCATGTATAGGGAAACTAAGCAGGAGACATAACTAAACTCCCTGGTATCTTTCTAAAAGCTACTTAATAGAGATTATGCGTTCTACTTTTTTAATCAGCATGGCTCCATGCTGATGGCAAATATTAAGTAAATGCTATGGAATGAATACAAAATGTCACTAGAGCAGTTCACTGTACCAAAGTGAACTGCACATGCAGCAGGTAAGACTCCTAGGACTGGAAAGCCAAGCAATCTGGATAACTCAAGAGCCACTGAATGTTCCAAATGCTACTGACCTGCCACAGTTCTCCTGCCCTCTCAGGCACTTTCTGCCTGACTAGTGGCCGTCATTGGTTACACTAATACCAGCAATTCTTATCCAAGGATGGTGAAAGGACGAATATGAAGTCATTTCAGAAAGTTAAAATACACAAGGGTTGAGTTTTTCTGATAAAGTCATACTCACAGGAATGGTGCCAGGAGTAGTCCCAGCTCCAAATCTGGCACCTGCATCATACCCGCCTTCCACCAGCACTGTGGAGCCCGGTGGATAGATGGGGCCAACTGGATAATAAGCCATGGGGATTGTGGAGCCTAAAGGCCCAACAGCCACAGACTGGGCCATGGGCAGATACAGTGAGGCGCCAGGAAATGCAGCTGACATGGTGGGGACGGTGGCAGCCCCTGGGTGCACAAAGCTCGGACGATAGAGCTAGAAAAGGCAGGAGAAGGCCAAATGTTACTTGATGACATTCCTATTTCAGATTTCATTCCTGATTCCTCTTTAATAAGTCACTCTTAATTCTCTTTATTCAGATTATAATCTAGAAGTTATACAAGTTACCTTTCCCCTACCACTCAATATTCTTAAATCACTTCCTGCTACAGCTAACCTTTAGCTGAAAGAATGCAAACTCATCTTAACTTCAGCCTGTGCCAAATAATGCACAATAATCAGATAATACATTCTGAACCCAACAGATATTGATGAACTATATGTTGTTTTAGATGATTCATTATTCATTCTTCTGTTTGTCAATATGTGGAGTGAGACTTAGCTAAGGACTGAAACTGTGATCCAAAAGTAGTATTCTCAACCAGGGTCAAGTCCAGTAAACTAGGAGCACCTCTGAGTAGGCGGGCGGAGCATCAGTATAGGGTGGAGCCTGAGGGAGATGCAAGGTCTGAGGATACACCGGGTTCCCAGGAGGCTGCACGGGGTAGGTTGGCTGCGTTGGATATTGACCTGGAAGACAAGAAAACATGCCTATTGCCTGCCATACAGAGCCACCAAGGAAGGGCCTATCGGGTAGAAACCAGTGGGAGCAAGCAAAAGGGGGTTTGCAAAACCAGACTGCCCTGGAGGGCCTGAGGGGTAAAAAGTATTCTCTTTGCTTAAGCAGTCCCTTATCACGGACGCTAGGCTATAAACGGGCACGAAAGTTGCTCTCCCCATAGCGTGTACTGGTGAACGTGGAAAATCTAGCTAGGCCCACGTTCCTTCCAGAGGGCAGGGCAAGTTCTCGCCCGCGGAGTCTCCACAGGCCCGGCTGTAACCAGCCAAGACTTCGTAACGAGTAACGGTGCTTCTCCCCCAGATGTCCACTCAAGGTCGACCTCAAATCAAAACGAAGCGTGGATGCAGGAAGAGAACCTTGAGACTGGACAGAGGGTGAAGGAAGGGGAGAGTCCCGACTTGAAAAGCGGAGGTCGTGTTCTGCCAGACATACTAGCAGCATCGCGGGAAGCAGGATACATTATGGTCGCCGGCCAAGGGACAGGGAAAGTGACCCTTCGGGCGCAGGCCCGCCCACCCGCGCCCGCTCCGGTGACGCCCGGGGCCTGCCTGTGGTTCCGAGCGCGGCGCCCCGCCTCCGCCGGCTCCCCATTGGCCCACCCCAATCCCTGTTCTAGCTCCCCATTTGCTTCCGCAGATGCCCATCATGACAAACCTTCCCCACCACCACCACTACCCCCCACCCCCAACCCCGACTCCGCAGCGCCAAACTGCGCCACAGAGTTGAAGGGGGAAAGGGCCGGGAAGAAGCCAGCGAGCGAGCGGCCGTAACCCGGGGGTGACGAAGGCGGCTGACGCAGCCCCGGGGACCGCAGCCGGCCGCGGAGGGCGGCGCGCAGCTCGCCCCACATTTAGAATAAGTGGACCCCGGGCTCCCGGCCGCTCGCTCCGGGCAGCGCTACTCCCCCCGACGGCCTCAGCCGCCCCCAGGCCTTGCCTTTGCTGTTCATGGTGGCTGCGGGTCCGGTTCGGCTCGGCTTCGCGGACGGTTATTTTTTTCGTCCTCTTCCTGTTCGTAGTCACTTCCGTGTCACGTGCCGGTTCGTCCTCTACCGTCACCCGACGCCGGGGCCTCTGCGCCGGAAGCCCCGCCCCTTCGCCAGCCCTCCAGTAGCTAAAGGGAAGAGCCCGCATGACCCGCCCACTCGCGTTGGCCCCGCCCTCCCGGTCGTGTCCTCCAATCCCCACCCCTGCCCGTCGACTAGTGGAAAACCAAATACTGTTTACGCGTGCGCGTGCCCATATTGTCTCAAAAAAACGGGATCCAGTCTCTGGGGCGCTGGGAGGCAGAATCTTAAACTGGTTCCCGGAATCTTTTCCCGCCTACGCGCTGCGGCTCCAGGTCAGCTCACCTACAGCCTTTCCGCCAGGGTCAGAGAGCTCAGTAATTTATCTCACTGCCACGCGTTCCTACCCATCCCCACTTAATCCTCAGCTCCGTAAGCATTCCTTTTGCCAGTCCAGCGCACACGTATTGTTTTCTGAATTAGACCTTCGCTCGAGTCTTCGCCCTCTTGTCCGTTCCACTCACCGGCTGTCAGCATGTGCTTCTGTGTTGCTATCTTTCTCACCAAAAGCAAGGGCATTGTGCTGTGTCCTCCACTACAGCTAAAGCTAAGGTGACCAGATTTTCACATTGGTAAAGCGGGACACCATTGGGGGAGGGGGGAGGGTTCTTGATTAAAAATTTGGTCTATATGGAGCAACAAAAATTTTTATAGAATTCAAAAATAGTATTGTAATATATTTTTTTAAAATTTCAACAAAAGTACAATTTACAAATATAATAAATAAAATACAATTATGTATAGTCGTGTCAAGTGTCACTTTCAAGGCCGGCGCTAGACTTTTTGCCGCCACTATAAAATATAAATAATATGAGACTATCAGCTAAATTCAAGAAAATTTATGTATTTATGAAATAATAAATTAAATTATCTGAATAGCTGATTTGTAATGACATCACTTGTTTAACTAGCTTACTAGCAGAAATTATGATGTGTATCGTCTGAGAGATAGTTACAAAATGTTTTCGCCATTGCCAATCACAATAAATGCCATTGTTCATTAAGTCCAAACAATAGCTGAAACCGGTTTGGCTCAGTGGATAGAGCTTAGGCCTTCGGACTGAAAGGTCCCAGGTTTGATTCCGGTCAAGGGCATGTGTCAAGGGGTGTGCAAGAGGCAACTGATCGATGATTCTCTCTTATCAATGTTTCTTTCTATCCCTTCTTTTCCTCTCTGTAAAAAATCAATAAAATATTTTTTTTTAAAGTCCAAACATTGGTGGTCGAATTCTAACAACTGATCAACAATGTGAACTTTGATAAGCAGTTCTTGATAATCAGTTCTCAACAATTATTTGTTACTATTAAAGTTTAACATTATAAAATTAACAAAAATAATGTAAAACTCATACCCTGGCTAAATAGCCACATGGCCTCTGAAAACCGTACATTCCCTTCCCGTTCTCCCGCCGTTCCCTAGCTTGTCTTGCATTCTTTCCAAAAATTGGGACTTCTTTAAAACGCCACAGGACACAGGACAAATTGTTAAAAATCGGGACTGTCCCTCCAAAAGCGGGACGTCTGGTCACCTTAGCTAAAGTGGTAAGGAGTGCCGGCGCCCCTGCCCTTCCTTCCTCACCTGTTACAGGTGACCTGCATGGGCTTTGGGTCTGTTTTCTTTGTGTATCGCTTTGCCTCTGACTTAATTGTCCTACAGGGCAAAGATGCTCTCCTTTAGGGCAGCAGTTAAGTTTTTTTAAGTACCTTCATTTTTAAATACCTGCTGAGCGCTTGCTATGTGCAAGTACAGAGGTGAAGCTGAACAAGACAGCTCAACACTTTCCCCATGGAGCTTACATTCTATCGGATGTAGTAAGAAGAGTAGAAGAAAAGCGCCCGAAAAGAGAAAACTTTGGAAAGAAAAGCTCTCAGTCCACATTAGAAACCTGATCAATTTTGCTGGTTCATTAAACCACCAAAAAGGCCCCTACTCACTTCAACTCTCACTTTCTCTCCAGTATTGTATGAGCACCATTCAAATACATGGTTTCCAGGGACCTTTACAACAGCCCTGTGTGGCAGGCAAGGCTTACACGAGCATTCCTGCATTTCAAATGAGAGAAAAGATTAAAGAGTTGTCCTAAGTCACACAGTGAACTGGTTTCAGAATCAGGTCTTGTGTCCTGGCTTCCAGGGCCCCAAGTCAGTGTTCTTATTTTGTTCTGGATTTTTTATTTGTTTGTTTCCTATATGTCACACTGCCTATCTTGACTAAAATACTCTAAAAGTCCAGTGTCCAAGAGTTGTTGTTTGGAGATTTCTTTTATATTGATACTAGAGGCCTGGTGCACAAAAGTTGTGCACTCGGGGGGGAGGGGGGAATCCCCTCAACCTAGCTTCCCCCCTCTCACAGACCAGGAGCCCTCAGTGGGTGTGGGGGGGCAGGCCTAAGCCATAGTCTGGCCTTCCTCTGCAGGAGGTGACCAGCTGATCGGGGAAGGCGCCACCCTATCACCCTGCTATTGCCACTGCCAGCTGCCACAGCCACCGAGGTGTTTTCATTAACACGGACTCCAGTTCCTTTACCACGAAAAAATGACAACTTTCTTTAGGCATTTTTTAGATGTCTCTTTCATAGGATATGACTCCTTCCTTCTTTTCTTTCTTTTTTTCTTTCTTTCTTTCTCCTCACATGAGGATATTTTTCCATTGATTTTTAGAGAGCATGGAAGAGAGAGGGAAAGACAGACAGAAATGTCAATGTGAGAGGGACACTTCGATTGGTTGCCTTCTGCATGAGCCCTGACCAGGGTTCTGGCCAGGTGGAGCCTGCAACCTAAAAAATACCCTTGATCAGAATTGAACCCAGACACTGTGGTCCGCAGGCTGAGGCTCTATCCACTGAACCAAACTGGTGAGGGCAGGATATAACATTCCTTAGCCCCTCCAGTAGCAGACCTTTGTTTTTTTTTCTTCAGGAGTGAGGTGGAAAAACCTTAGATCACCTTCTTGGATTCTTACTACCCAAGTTACCAGGAACACTTCAAGGCGTACAGGTTGCTTAAGCAATAAGAAATGAACAATAAGAAAAGGTGTTTCCTCTGCAGCTATTTCCCATCAAGGGTGGGCCCCCATGTGTGTTGTGTCTCTGCTCCAGGCCCACCCCAGCCCCAGCCACACTGCGGCACTGGCGGCAGGCACACCGTTCCCTCCAGCCCAGCTGCACATGCAGCCTCCTCTTGAGCCAGCAGTGACTGTTATGGCATCCCGGCTAATTTGCATATTATCATATATATATATCATTAGCTTGACTCAGACTAACATTGATATTATAAAGCCTCTGATATATACCTGTTCCTGTATTCCTGACTGTTCTTGAAGGCAGGCACAGTGTTAAACATTCATTCAACATTTATTTGTAAAGCACTTACAGCACCAGGCACTGTCCCAAGAGAAAACAAAGCCCTTGCTCTCCCGAAGTTTACCTTCCAGGGCAGGAGCCTATAAAACTGTTTGACCAAAATACACCATAATTCACTCTGAACCATGACCCAGCATATACACATTTATACATGTAACTAAAACAAACTTAACTGACCTTGTGCTTGTCTTTATATGCACAACAAATGCACTGTGGTATTTTCTATTCTATTCTCTTCTATTTTTTTTTTTTTCCCCAATTCTGGTTGTGACTTCACATCCCACTAACAAGTCAGAACTCCCAGTTTGAAAAGCACTGTTTATTAGTGGACTATTACCCCCAGGACCTTTGCAACCAATTATTGGGGAATAAATGAGCGAATAAATCCTTGGAGGTCAGATCAGGCAAATCTTTTTCCCTGTATTCTAACTTCTCCCCAAATCAGATCCTAAATTAATTTCAGCATAAAGCCTGACACTGGAGAGAGAAATCACTAATCTATCCCCGCCCTTACCCTATGCTCAGGGCCTCAGAAAATAAAGGAGGGAAACTAAGAAAGGAAACTTTCCTTATTTCTCTTTCTGAACCCTCAGTTAGGGACCCTGGGAGTGTGCTGACTGTTGTAGCTCATGTCACTGAGAGTGTAAGGTTTTGGGTCCTAAAAGCCTATTTCAATGGGCATAGGAGGTGGATCCTAGTTCTGGTCCTACTCTGTCACCAACTATGTGACTTTGGTTCTCATCTATTCAGCTCCCCTTTATTCCCTACTAGGTAGGAGTCTGATATGGTGCCAGTGATCGTACAGGTATTATCTACTTAATGTCCACAGCAGACTCCAAGGAAAGGTGCAAGTAAGGGGACTGTTTCAGAGAGGTTAAGTAGCTAAACTAAATTCCATCGCTGCAGCGCCAGGATCAAACTCGGGTTTGTTTGACTTTATAAGCATTGTGTTTAATCTGCTTACATTGTTTTCTAAACAGATGAAAAGATGTTCAGCCTCACTCTTAATAAGAAGGCAAATTAAAACCACACAGATACCATTATCAGATTGGCAAAACTCCAAACACTTGCTAACTTTACTCTGTGTGCAGGGCTGTGGATAAGCAGACACTCTAATTTATTGATGGTCGGGCTGTAAATTGGCACAACTCCTATAAAGATATTTTGGCAATATCCATCAAAATTACAAATTACCGCCGAAACCGGTTTGGCTCAGTGGATAGAGTGTCAGCCTGCGGACTGGAGGGTCCTGGGTTTGATTCTGGTCAAGGGCATGTGCATTGGTTGCAAGCACATCCCCGGTGGGGAGTGTGCAGGAGGCAGCTGGTCGATGATTCTCTCTCATTGATGTTTCTGAATCTCTATCCCTCTCCCTTTCTCTCTGTAAAAAATCAATAATATATATATATATTTTTTTTAAATTACAAATTACCATTCCCACTCCCAGGAATAACTTCTACAGATATATTTGCACTACTGAGAAACACTGTATATAAGGCTGTTCACTGCAGCATTGTTTGTA